CCCCCCCACACACACACACACCTCCTGCCCACCCAGCCAGGTACCAAAGGTTGGAGCAGTCCTATGGCACAGAGCTGTCTGTACCTTTTGACACAAGTAATTCTTGAAATCTGAACTAAGTACACATTTAAAGAATTTGATGATTCTACAGTTATGAGCATTGTGCTCTAAGTGAATGTAGACTCTGTTTTTATTCCTTTTATCTTGGAGAAGACTCCTTTAAGGTACTTCCAGGCAAGGTCTTATTGCACATTAGTGATCGGGAAGGGCTGAATAGCCAGGTGATGCGATCTTTGGTGTGTATCCTTCACTGCCTCCTCTGCCTCCTTTCTTATTAGATGAAAAACCAAAATTTGTTCAGGGAAGATAAAAGATGGATAGTTACACAATCGCTTTTGATTATTTGTGTTAGGAACCTTCCATCTGCAAGCACCCAAAGTTATTTGGCATTCTACCGAGTTTGTGAGATGCATCTAAAACTTTCATTTGCTTTTATTATTTCTGGAGCATCATAGGATTTCAGAAATTGGAAGTAATGAAGTGTGTTTGAAACAAGCCCATCAGTTGCTTGTAAATTTCTGTCTGCTCTAGTTGTGTATTAAACTAAACTGAAATCAAGGGAAACAAACTGTGAACTGTGCTCTCCCTTCACTGTAGAGAATGTTTCATTATTCTTGTAGAAAGAGCGTCAGCCTGTGGTGACATTTTGTATTGCTCTTTGTGTGCTTGCCTTGAAACTCTAGTTAGGAAGCATTGCAGTGCCTTCCCTGTTTTTAGACATCATACTGTACATTTGGAGAACACTCCTATTAACCATTTAAGGGACATTTTGTGCTTAGGGCAACTGAAATTAGCTTGAATAGGGCCACATGTTCACGCACTGTAGTAAATTTGGATTTGAATAGCTTATTTCACTCAAAGCCACTAAGTATTCCTGTAACACACAAACAAACAAACAAGATATTGGAGTGTTCTCTTATTAAGAACAGTATATAATTGCCATGTCTTTAAGGAACCATTCTGTTACACTGAAAGGATACTAATTACAGTGCAGCATAAAAAAGGTATAAATTGTGTCTAGGTAAGCCTGAAAAGAAGGCTGCAATTTAATGTATGGTTAACTTGGGAGTAAGCCGCACAGAACACAGTGAGATTTACTTCTAGGACAGTATGTTCAGGAAATGTATGTCTCTGTGTATATACTGAACATTTATATGATACAGAAAAATAAAGGTGCTTATAGCAATACTTAAAGTATTCCAAATGCAGTGAAATCTATCTGATCTATAATTAAGTAACAAGGCCTAGGTTTTCCAGATTCTACCATAGACAGTTTTGGCCATATCCTGTTAGGTAGGTGACCTTCACCAAACTGATAGTACATCAGCGCTTGGCACACTGAAAGTTTCTGCAATGCATCTACGTGCAATGCAGTCCATATCTGCTCACTTTAAATGAATTTATTGAATTTTGAGAAGAGGTTCATTTCAGCTCTGCTTTTGAGTGAACATTTACACAATCGTGTGGAAAGTCCTAATTATTTCAGTGCCACTTACTGTTAAGTGACTTACACTACAATCTTAAGCAGATCAACTTGGAAGTAAATGCCCTTCAGTGCCGTGTGGGTTATTCACAATTGAATGTGCATAAGTAACCACAGGAATGTAACCTCTGGGTTGTAGCCATAAACATCTTGGATCATCATGCGTATTTCCACTGAAACCATCCTGGCTATAGCGGAAAGTATTGAGGTATGAAGCAAAAGTTATCCTCCTAGACAATGATAACCATAACGAGAGCCAGAGTGGTGTAGTTGTTAAGAGTGTAGCACTGGGGATCCGGGAGCTCTGGGTTCTAGTTTCCACTTAGCCATGAAGCTCTTGGGTGACTTTGGGCCAGTTGCAAACTCTCAGTCCAACTTACCTCTTGGGATTGTTGTTGTGAAGGTAAGACTGAGAGAGGGAGGAGAATTATGTAACTGCCCCCATGAGTTCTTTGAAAAGAAAAAAGGCAGGATATAGATACAATACATAAAAGAACATAAATAAACAAGCTTTTTTTATTTTCTGTTTTTTTAGTGAAGTTTACTTCTTAGTGGGCACAAAAAGAGAATTGTTCTGTGATATGTAGTCCTGTGCAGGCTTATTTGGGAGTAAGGTCCATTAAATGTAGTAGGGATTTGTTCGAAGTAAACGTGCTTAGAAGTAAGGCTGGAAACTAGATGCAATGTTAAAAACAACTATTAAGCCTACTTTCAATGGAAGTACCTCAATTTCTCTAAAAGTGATGCTTTTATTTTTTTAAAAAATATTTTGTTCCAGCTAATAGTATTTGATTTTAATTCTTCCACTTCAGTCCTAAAATAATTTAAATGAAAGTGGGTCCCTTTGATTCAATATAAGTGTGATGAGCACTGTCGCCTTTTATACCATGTTCCCAATCACACCGCTTTGTTTATCACTCTGGAGGGTAAATTACTTAGTCCAGCTGAATATGCTGTCATCATGCTTCTTTGAAACTTCCTACTTAGACTGAGTACCATAAATGCGCACAACAAATATACTTGATATAATGTGTGGTGGGTAAAAAAGACTCTAAAAAATACTTAAACTTGCACCTTTTATCCATACAGTTTTATAGAAGTGGGAGGATAAGAGAACTGCCACTTCATTATCAGTAATCTAAATTTATCTTTGTGAAACTCTCATGATTATAGACCAAGTAAGGGGTCATTTCTGTTTCCAACATAAAGCATATTAGTCCATTTTTCTACAGATAATGATATAGTTTGCTGGGCAGAGGTGTTTATAGCTAATATACTTCAGTGGAAAAGAATGTGGTTAGGTTCAACCAGTTCAATACTTAACTCTCTTGTAAACTCTTTAAATAGCCTTGGGCACACTATTTACTTTCAGCCTTTCCCCTCCTCTCTCTGAAATGTAAGGAGGGGAAATATTGTCCACTTTTATTGGATGAATGAAAAATGTGTTCAAATAGTGCTGCATTCATGAGCAGTCTATAAATGATTATTATAGAAGCAATATTATAAGTTTATAAAATGTGGTCATATGCAATGTACTTGTAAGAGTCGTAGTACAATTCAATGTATCTCTATTTGGAAGCAAACGCCATCAAAGTTATACAGTTTCAGTACACAGTTTAATGAGTTGCTTGTTTCATTTTTCCTCTCTTGACCCAGCATTGATGTGATATTCAAGGGCTAATCAGCTAACCCTCTTATACTGAAGTATTTAGGCTTAGATGCTCTAAAATATTGTTAAAATCTATCAGTCCAATGTGGATCCAAGGCCCAAGTGCACCCACACCATTTGCCTGTTCCCAAGCAGGGGGAATGGGGAAGCACACTTTCATAGGAGTTCCAAGGTCACACTGGTGCATATATAGGGCTTACAGTTACGGTATATTTTCCCTCTAATTCTCATACTGCTGACTGATTTACATTGCAGAATTCT